CGAGAGTGTGGCCAGAAAGTTCACAAGGACACTCAGTAACTAAGCCAGGCCCTCCAGGCCTAGAAAGTGCCTGGGTGTCCCCACTGCCAGAGAGGGCGTCTAGCTGTGTGCTGCTCCGGCTGAACTCGAGGCTTTGTACAAACAAAAAGTAAAAGCCAACTCCAAACTGTAAAGAGCCTGAATCTGGGGCTGAGCGAGGTGGCTCACGCCTGTAATCCTAGCAGTCTGGGAGGCCGAGGTGGGCGCATTGCTCAAGGTCAGGAGTTCGAGACCAGCCTGAACATGAACGAGACCCTGTCTCTAATAAAAATAGAAAGAAATTAATTGGCCAACTAAAAATATAGGAAAGAAAAAGGAGCCTGAATTTTGAATGCATCCACAACTCATGCCCACAGCCATCACCGAAGCATGGAGGCCTGACTGGTTCACGATATTTACGCATGATCACTAACCAATAATTGGCCACTACGCTATACTGACCCAGGGGCAAGCTGTATGAAGCTAGGTTTACATGCAATAAAAAAATTTTTTTTGATTTAGCAGAGGCTGGGTGTGGTGGCTTGGCACTATTTTTTTTCTTTTTTTTAGATAGAGTCTCGTTTGTTGCCCAGGCTAGAGTGAGTGCCGTGGTGTCAGCCTAGCTCACAGCAACCTCCAAACTCCTGGGCTCAATCAATCCTGCTGCCTCCAGCCTCCCGAGTAGCTGGGACTACAGGCATGCGCCACCATGCCCACGGCTAATTTTTCTCTGATATGTTCTCTATATATTTTTAGTTGGCCAATTAATTTTTTTCTATTTTTAGTAGAGACGGGGGTCTCACTCTTACTCAGGCTGGTTTTGAACTCCTGACCTTGAGCAATCTGCCCGCCTCGGCTTCCCAGAGTGCTAGGATTACAGGTGTGAGCCACTGCGCCCACTGCCTTGGCACTATTATCCTACTACTTTGGGAAGCCAGAGTGGGAGGATCACTGGAGCCCAGGAGTTAGAGAACAGCCTGAGCAACAGCGAGACCTTCTCATAACAAAAAGTTAAAAAATTGGCTGAGTGTGGTAGTGCATGCCTGTAGTCCCAGCTACTCAGGAGGCTGAGGCAGGAGGATCGCTTGAGCCCAGGAGTTCTAGGCTACAGTGAGCTATGATTACGCCACTGCACTCCAGCCTGGGTGACAGAAGTAAACCCCATCTGTGAAAAAGAAAAATTAGCAGTGAGGTCAGTGGCTACTAATGCAGAGGAGACTGACTCTACAGAACTCCTCTAAGCAAGCCAGTAAGCAAGTACTACCACTAACACTCAGTGAGGAGGGGAAAGGATTAGACTCCAGCGTTTCTACAACATACTATCTGAAATACTCAGTATTCAATTAAATAATTATAAGTCATGTAAAGAAACAAGAAATTGTTGGCCGGGCGCGGTGGCTCACACCTATAATCCTAGCACTCTGGGAGGCCGAGGCGGGTGGATTGCTTGAGGTCAAGAGTTCAAAACCAGCCTGAGCAAGAGGGAGATCCTGTCTCTACTATAAATAGAAAGAAATTAATTGACCAACTAAAAATATATATAGAAAAAATTAGCCGGGCATGGTGGCTCACGCCTGTAATCCTAGCACTTTGGGAGGCCGAGGCGGGCGGATTGCTCAAGGTCAGGAGTTCGAAACCAGCCTGAGCGAGACCCC